CTGTATACTATGCCTCATGCACAGGTAGATTATCATTAACGAGTATTATTAAAGCTGTGTTAAAACATGCACAAAAAGAAAGAAAGCTCTTCATCAAGAGGTCGTAGTTTCTCTTGCCCAATTTGTGGCAGAAAGTGCAGATCAAGAACAGGTCTCCTTAGTCACCTGTAAGCTTGCAACACTCATATTCAAAATATATAAATAAGTAAATAATGATGACAGTAATTACCATGAATGTAAATAATGAAAATAAATTAAAATTTTCGACAAAAAAGCCAAAAAACCAACAGTTTCTTCCCTTTTCTACATCATGTGTGTTTATGTCTACTTATAATTTCGCAGGCTAAAAAGATGACTAGTTTATATGTCAGAGTTTATAATATTTACAATGTTATTGCCACATTATTTTATATTTCAATAAATGTATTCATTTCCAAGGTGAGACGACTTTTTATACCTTGGCGAACATAATTTTATATAAATTGTCAGATCTTCCTATGAAAAATTATTTTGCCAAAATAAAATTTAATTGATTAATAAAAAAACACTGCGAGTGTGCATGGGCATCGATGGGTGAGGGAAAGGGGGACACATCCCCCACTTTTCAAGGTAGTGGGGATGTCATATTAATTGTTCCCCCCCCCCCCAACTTTTCAGCAATCTTCTATAATTAAAACCCCACTTTTCAAAGCAAGTGGAACCAACAACAATTTACACATGCTGTCATGAATTTTGTCTTCACCTGTGCTCTTTTTCAAGTGCAGTGCGTATTTCCAGACCAAAACTGAGTAAAAACGCAGTTGTTTGTATCATAACCATCTCGGTAACCACTCCATCAATTTTATAGGTGCGACGGTTGTCAAGAGTCTAAATTTATTGTGAAAACAATGTACTTTACATTGTTAAAATTGGAAGCGTGTAAACCTATTAGGCCAACATTTTACCAAACTCAAAAGTGCACAATTTCTACTATTTGAACGATTGATTCCGTTTGTATATTATTATGACCCGTATAGTGTTTAATATTATCTGCATACAAAGATTCCTGTTTTCCTAATTTCAAATAATTATAATTGTCAATTGAATTGCATATAGCTGTTATTAAATAATAATTATACACGGACAGGTCCATCTATTTCGATTTATTTAGGAATACCACACATTTACAAACTCCAATGTTGTGTTAACGCATTCTTACAATGACGTCATAATAATCAGTGGCGGATTCAATTGGGCTGACCCGGACCCTCCTAATGATTCAAAATTAGAAAAAAAGAAATGGCGGAAAAAAGGAGAATTATATTTAGAATGCATAAAACCTGGTGATGGCTATCATAGTTTTTTGTATTTTTCTCACTTTTGTTATTTTGTTGTGCTTGTAAAATAGTATTTTTCTCACTTTTGTAACTTTGTGCTTGTAAAATTACACGCAATTTGGCCATTGGCCACAAGTTGTAATTGTTTTTTACTGGATGGTTGTTTTTTTTAAAATAAAAGTATACTAGTACTACTACTACTACTACTAGAATTTAGTTCTGAGAGTGCCATTTCCGGCCATCATAATCATAAATTTTCTGGCCTGACACAACAGCCCCAACCATGTTGGGGCTGAGGTGGTTAAGTTTCCCAAACTGTGAAAGTCCCTCCCTGTCCTGTCCCCAACCCCCTCTGTTTGGGCACTAGGCGGCGCCCCCTTGTCCCATACCAATGTATTAATTTACTTGTAGACTCTATAAAATTGATGAAATAAGCCCTTGAAACTCAGAAAAGTTTTTAGAAACGCCCGACCATGCCCACTTTTTTTTCTCGTCAGGGACATCAATCCTCCCCCCCCCCTTCCCCTTTCCAGGACCTTGGCGCCACCACTGACTTTGTCTCCTCCATTTTTAACCAATATATATAATTAAGAAATAGAGATTTTTTTTTTTTTCATCAAATTTCCATTTAAAAAAAATTTGAAATCCCCATTTAGCTGGTGATTTGCTAAACAAGGTATAACAAATATATTGCCTAAGTCAAGGATTTTGTACAACAGCCATTATTTAAAAAAAGGGGAATCCCCAAAACTGTCTTCACTTATTAATATTGACTAGAATACTTTGTCACAATAAATTCTAGGGATCAACTCAGAAAATATATAAACATCAAAAAATCAAATGCCATTGTAAGTACAGCACATATGGGTATACCAATAGTCTCAATCCAATCCAATTTAAGCTTTGATTTACATGGCACATTTTAAGTCTTAACACTTGAGTATAATAAGTATTAAGAGCCTGGTTTAAATTTTATTCTTCTCCCTCTAGCAGTGTTTTTTTATGTCCATTACATGTAGTGCTGAAGATAAGTTGACCTATGATAATATTTCAAGAAACTTCATGCACAGCCAAAATGTTCATGCTCATATTAGTTGAAAGCGACTTATCAAAGTAGGAGAAAAACAATTATTCTGAAATCGATGGTAAAAAAATGTACTGAAGTGTTTGAAATACTACTTAACTTAGTTAGGAGCAAAAATGCCTAGCCTGCTAAATACAATTCTTCACTTCCTAAAATGTGCATGCTATTCAAACCCTCTCACAATTTGATTCACAATCTGTAAATATAGTTTGAAATTATGCATCATTACTTGCAGTGTCTTGCTTCAGCAACTAATTCATTTTTACAAAACATAGGCGGTGGCACAGTTTGAACATTGGTTGTGCCTTAAATGTAAGAACTTTGCAAATGGAATGTAATGTAGTTGTATTTGTGTAGTGCCTTCAACACAATCACATTAAATCAATTTTTCATTTATTTATTTATTTTTTATTTTTTAAATCAATATTCAAGCTTGTTTTGCAAATTATTGGTGGGGCCTACAGGAGGGTTTGCCAAACCACTAAAATTCTTTGGTGAGCTAGGCCCACCCTACCCACTCTGTGCCACCGCCAGTGCCACAAATTAATACATTTCTATTATTTCTCTGTATTCACAGGTACATTATCATTAACAATTATTTTATCATAATAGCTACAATATTAAATGAATATCCTTGCTAATTATTTGTGAAATTAAACTTGATTTTCTGCTTCTTCTTGTCGATTGCTTCATGGCTGATTCGTTGTGACCCTTTTGATGACATCCTTACATAATAATTGATTTTGTGCTGCACAGTAAGCTTCATTCATGGATAGGCCTGTTGCTGAACATATGCCATCAGCCCATCTCAACTTTATATAACCGAAATATTTTAGTTTGCTTCTGTCAATGATGTTGCATAGACTACTTCTCTTTCCTGTAAGGAACATCACATATTCATTTGTCTTTTTGTCTTTCCACAGTATTCCTAAAAATCTCTGCCAGCACCACATCTCGAAAGCTGCCATAATTTTTTCAAATAGCCCATGATTCACTGCTGTATAAAACAATGGGAAGCACAATGCTTTCCATGATACGTATTTTTGTTCTTCTTGTGATTTTATCTTTCCAGATAATATTTTAAAGATATTGCTGCGGATTTTCCCATTGCGGTTCTCGTTTTTATTTCTGTGGTGTAACCACCAATCCTTTTCTAATTGAGATCCCAGGAATTTAAAGGAATTAACACTCTCCAGTTCACTTCCATCGACCTCTATTACTTGTATTAATTCATCATTACAGACCATCACTTTCGTCTTTTTAACATTAAGAAAAGCTCATGCTCTTCACTTACAGTTTTTACACTTCCAATTAGATTTAATAATTCAGTAGCTGATGTTGCTAGCAGAGTGGTGTCATCTGCATACCTTAGGTTACTGATGTTACCATTATTTTTATTTTAAATTAATTACAGTATATTTAAGACAATTAATCTTTTTATTGAAATGTTTTCAGTTAAATATTACAAAATTATAGTTTATTCATAAATGAAGAAAGTCATTAAACTGTCTACCTGTTGTCAATAATTATAAATTTAATAGTGATATTAATTATGATAGCAGTGATTAATTCATATTACTAAAACCTCAGGTCTTTTGCATCATTTAGTGATAGTGCAATTAGGATATATGTCTCAATTTGATATCTTTCACTGTTTCAGCTGGTGGTGGTGGTGCTGTTGTTGATAAAGATAAGTCACCCATAGCTCCAATACGTAAGTACCATTTTATTTTATGATCAATATGATTAATTTCTTTATTTAGTTTAATAAATGATTTCCAACATTTAATGCATATGTGTTCTACTATGTACATATAATTTATTCTAACCATTTTAAGAGCTGAATTTTAATTATAAAATGTCCTTTTTAATTTAGTTGTTCATATTCTTTAATACTGGGCCTTGTGTTAAATTTGAATTGTTTATTATTTTATCAAAGTAATATTTAATATTACTATTTCATGTATGTGTTTATATAGATAGATAATATCTATCTAATAGTTGATCATAAAAGAATAATCAATTTTGAAAAATGTTTTTAAAATTATTTAAAATACAGTAATAACAATAATTATAGTGAAAATAAAGTTATAATTTTGATAATAATTAGTTATAGATAAAAATAATATTACATTTCTTATTTACTTTTATCATTACATTGATATTATTATTATGTTAATATTATTTTGGGTTTGATTTATTATCAGTTGGTGGTGTGATTGGTTGTCTTGTACTGGTTGCTTTAATAGTTGGTTTGAGCTATAAATATACTTTTTTTAAAGTAATATTATCTATCTAATTTGTGATTATGAAAGAATAATAAATGTTGAAAAATGTTTTTAAATTATTTAAAATAATAACAGTAATCATACTGAAAATAAAGTTATAATTTTGATGATAATTAGATGGATAAAAATAATATCACATTTCTTATCATTTGATCATTACATTGATGTTATTATTATTTTGATGTAATTTTGGGTTTGATTTATTATCAGTTGGTGGTGTGATTGGTTGTCTTATACTGGTTGGTTTAATAGTTGGTTTGAGCTACAAATGTAAGTTTGACGGAACTCTTAGTGTTTACAGTTTTTCATTATCTCAAGAAAAGTATTCATACAGTAGATAGGAATGGCCTAATGACAAGAGTATTTTACAAAGTCAAGTAAAATGTTAACATGCTGAAGGTTTTACTGATGTGACTGTAGCCTAAAATTTGGTTAAACAGTGGAATGATAAAAATAATTAATACAGGAAATTCTGAAGTTTTTATGTGTACAATCTCAGGGAGTTGTTAATTTAAATAATTCTTGGTAAACATTTTGCAGTGCCAGATCTGTTGGGGGGGGGGGGAG